CTTGCGCAGCGCGTGTCCTCGCCAGCACGCCTGCACCCGGACCGCGGAAGTCTCCGCGTCCGCGCTGCTCCGCTCGGTGCCCACAGGGGGCTCCTCGAGGGAGGAGCAGGAGGATGACGAGGAAGCGGGGGCCAAGGCAAGTCCAAGATGTATCAACGATGCTGCAATATACTCTCCCGTTCAAAGCTCCCTCATCATAATCTCCTGCCCCCCTTGAACACGGGGCCCCATGAGCCCGCAAATCAATTCAGGAGGGAGCTACGTTTTGAAAAAACTGCCCTGCAACCTGCGGGCGATGATGGATGTGTCAAACATTGGGGACTATGATAAAAGAAACGTCCAGCAGCACCCGCTCAGAGAAAGAATCGCCTTCATCCGTGCAACTGTTGCACAGGATGTAGACCCAGTCTGAAAAGCCGACAAGCAACCCAAGCGAGGACCGCATTTTGAAAAGGAACCGCCCTCCATCCGTGCAAGTGTCTTGACATAACTTGCATCGAAACTGTTGCATTGGACACGTCCCAAATGAAAACCCGTTTGAGCAGGAGCCGCCCTCCATCTGTGCCTGTGCTTGATTCTTGTGAGACACGCACATCGGCCCATCTTAAGCGACGAAACAGTACCCACATCGACGACTGGGACTGCCCAAGGTCGCGCCAAAACTATGCAAAACAGGCATATTGTTGTTCCGAGGAGCGCGATGCTTTCTCCCCCCGTGGTTGCATGGCCTTTCATCGCATAAGTTTTGGGCGGGGCATTTCGGGAAACAATTTGGGTAACATGTTGGGCGTTTTTTTTCCGGAAAGGATGTTCAGTCATCGTGCCACCGCGTCGTAGCCAATGCGTTTCGAGCTGTTCTGGCCGGGCCCTGCTTTTGGGCAGACCCTGTTCTGGGACTGTGTCTGGGGGGAACCTGACGACTGTGCAAGGCGTCAAAGCGATAAGCTCATGTTGAAAGCGGCCCGCTCTCTTCGGTGGCAACTCATGGGAACCTCCCATACCATCTTGTCGGCTCTTGCGAATCGGCGCTCGTCGACGCTAAATCGCGCTAAGTCAACTCTAGTCGACGCTAGCCGATGCTAAATCGGCGCTATCTGACCCGGAATTCAGCAGGTATACCATGCTCCAATGATTTACCACCGAACGCCCTCCACTCGTGTACAGGACTGCTGCAGCTTTTGAACTGCAATGCTCGGCGCCACAGCGAGAGCCTCGGTTTGCAAACGTCCCGCCCTCCATCCATGCAGCTATTGGAAACTTCAGGCCTCAAGACCGTAGGCAGTGAGGAAGCCTCAGGCGAAACGCCCTACCCACCCTAACGACAAGTCTGGTGGTGCGACGACGAGGAGTTAGTTGCAAGAAAGGAGAGGTTGAAAAGGAGGAGGAGGAGCATGAGGAGTGAAGGAGGAAGGAGAGGAGGAGGAGGTGGTGGAGAGGGGCGCAGCTGGGAAGCGTCCGATATCAAGAAAGGGCTTCTTGTAGCCGACCGTGAGAAGGTCGAGGAGGAAGAAACGAGTAGGGGATGCTGAAGAGGATGATGGCTGTTTGGGCCGTTTGTCTAAATCAAATTGCGCATTGAGCATTTGGGACAAGGGATTTATCCAAGGAATGGGTCCCCTCCTCCACCCGCCCCCGTCGCCTCCACCCTGGTCGGAACAGGGGGGGCGAACAGGAAATTAGGGGGGACGCATTGACCTGGATTTGTGACACGTCGACGATAAGTCGGCAATCGGCCCCAAGGCCGCATGGAGGTTTCAAGCCCAGACCCGCCATGATTGGGTCAGTCCCCCCCAATCGCCCCCCCTGCTGGCCTCCCTCACCCTGAGGTCCACGGAAGGATCCACCGACGTCTCCTGGAAGTACCAGGTGGTTTCTAGAGGCCCCTGCACTACCATAACCTGTTCGACATGACATATGGTTCGAGCCAAGCCATCCCCACCACGGAACTTTAGTTTATCAACATGTATTTGCTTACTGTGTGGCCTTGATGTCTATGTGTTGTGAGTGCTCCTGTCGTTTGCTCTTAATTCGGGTTACTGTTTTCTTGTTCCTGGCGTCTACTCAGCATCGCGGTTCCTCACTGTTTCGTTTTGAGGGGTCTTGGGATCCCGTTCGGCAACGAACATCCGAGATGGGGGGGGCACACTTTTCTCGAGATGGCTCGCGCGAAACGCATGTTTTAAAACAACGTGGGAATTGACCTAGTTATTCGTCGTAAAACAATTCCGCCGGCCCTACGCAAGTCGAGGCCGGTGGTGACACCTGTAAAAGAGAACCCTGGGCCCGATCTCTTCCCGGGAACAAAGTACCATGCACCATACAGAAACCTAAGGAGCGTACATGATGTTTCCATCTCGGGGCCCTCTGGGGGAGACCTCTGGAAGCGCATTGAAGCGTTTGGGAGGCCCCTGAGGCTGTCTTGAAGCCATCTAAGGCCGTCCTGGAACGAGCTGGACCCGTGTCCGAAGCTTCTGAGATTGTCCAGGGGCGTGCCTGGAGTGCTTGCTGTCAGTCTTGGGCATCCTCGGCCTCAGGGAAGCAGTCCTGAGGCGGAAGGCTCGGGCCATTGCGGGGCCTGGGGTAATCTTGAATCGACATCCGTCCCCCACTGTCTTGGCAAGTCAGTGGTCCGAAAAAACGAGAACGATCAAAATAATGCAAAAACCTCAGGGACATCGAGGACATGTTCTTCTTGGAGCCCTCTTTGAGGCCCTGTGGGAGTGCCTAGAGGCGTCTGAGAGGCCCCTACGGCCGCCTTGAAGCCATCTTGGGCCGTCCTGGAACACGATGGGCCCGTGTCCGAGGCGTGTGGGACCGTCGGGGCCCCAACACACCTCAAAACCGCCTCCGAGAGACTTCCGAAAGGCCTCCCAAGAGATGCCTGCCTACAATCGAGGCGCGGGGCGGGATGGGCCGAAGAGCCACTCGATCCGCCGCCCCTCTGGTCATGCCACAGGGGTGCCTGGCGTGCTGGATCCTGCCGCTTCTGGTGTTGGTTCTATTCCAAAAGAACTCCCACTGGGGCTTCGCCTGGCACGCGGAAGGCCGCACCGCTGCGCAACCCGCGTCCCCCAAAACGGCCGCTTTGCTAAGGACGCATCCTCGAAGATCGCAATCTTGGGGATCCTAGCCCAAGACGCCTTACGATAGGAGTGAGCGTCTGCCTCCAAGTTCGCCCCAGAAGCCTCCAATACCACCCCAGAAGCCTCCAAGGGGCTTCCAAGATGGCCCAAGGGGTCTCCAAGACGGCCCACGAGACCTCCGAGAGAGCGCGTTTCACTAGCGTTTGCCTTGGGAAGATTCGGCGGCGCGTTTCGAGCTGGGAGGTGCCCCCCCCCCCCAACACTCGGCGCCGTCGACCAAAACCAAGAGGACTCCCCTCCCCCCTAAACCCCCCCCTCCCGGACCCCCTCCCCCTCCGAAAGGGGGGGTGGGTAGGTTCCACCCCCCCTCTGGCGCCGGCGGCACTGGCGCCGGCGCTGGCGGCCGCTAGCAGCGCCGACGGCGGGGGCGCAGCGACGAGGACCAGAAAGGGCCCAGGAGGGGGGGGTTACAACCCCCCCCCCTCCCCCCACGTCGGCGTCAGCGCCGTCGCTGGCGGCGGCCAGGCCAGCAGCGCCGACAGCGGGGACGCAGCGACGAGGACCAGTGAGGGCCCAGAGGCCGCAGAGGCAACACACAAGTCGCCATATCGAGCCCTCGCATGCTTCTCAGTCGCCCCGAGACCCTTCTGACAAGACCTCAAAGAGGCATCCATTAGAACTCTGACCCAAAGAATAGCAGTGGCGGGAAAAGCCGAAGGCCACACCACCACCACCACCACAACCGCCACCACAACCACCAAAACCCACCGCCACCACCACAACCACCACCATCACCACAAACCACTACACCACCACCACCACCACCACCACCACCAAGACGCCACCATCACCAGCACCACCAAAACCCACCACAACTCACCACAACCACCACCACCACAAACCACCACACCATTATAACCACCATCACCACCACCACCATCACCACAACCCACCTCCACCACCACCACCACAAACCACCACACCACCACCACCACCACCACCAAACAACACCCACCACCCACCACAATCATCAGCACCACTATCAGCAGCGCCACCACCACCACCAACACCACAGCCCACCACCACCACCACCACAAACTACCACGCCATCACCACCACCACCCCCACCACCACGACCACCACCACGACCACCTCAACCCACCACCACCACCACAGCCAAAGCCATACAACCACCACCACCACAGCCACCACCACCACAACAGCCCACCACCACCACCACCACGACCACCACTACAACAACCCACCACAACTACAACCACCACCATCACATTCTACCACCACCACCACCACTACCGCCACAACCGCCACCACTACTACCAGCAGCACAACCCACCCCCACCATCACCACAACAAACCCTCACACCACCACCACCACCACCGTCACCACCACCAGCAGCACCACCTCCACAAGCCACCGCCACCACCACCACCACCACCACCACCGCCACCACCACAAACAACCACACCACAACCACCACCACCACCACCCAACACCATCACCACCAACCACCACCACCACACCACCACCACCACCACCTCCACCACACCACCACCACCACCACAAAACCACCACACCACCACCACCACGACCACCGCCACCTTCACCACAACAACATATCACCACCACCACCACCACCACAAACCACACCACCACCACCACCACGACCACAGCCACCACCACCACCAACAGGAACCACAACAACAACCACCACCACAAGAACCAACCACCACCACCACACCACCACCTCACCACCACCACCGCCACCACCGCAACCGCCACCACAACCACCACAACCCACCACCACCACAACCATCACCACAAACCACCACGACAAACCACCACACAGCCATCGTCACAACCACCACCACCTTAACATACCACCACCACGACTACCACCACCAACAGAAACCACCGCACCACCACCATCACCACCGCCACCACCACCACCACAACCTGCCACCACAACAACCACCACCACCACCAACCAC